TCTAGCAAAGGATATACCTTAATCGCTCGGAAGTGTGTGACCTCAAATGCACATCTCCTGGTGCAATAATGTAGGCGGATCTTTGACTACGTGTAGCAGTTAATGCCTACAGAGTCTTGCGGTGAGGTCTATTGGATACATTTCAGTGCTTGGTCTGCAATGTCACACTAAAGATACTCTCCTTCTTGACCAAGGTGATGATATTATAATGGGGGAGACTGAATTATTACTAAACACACGACATACAACCTAACTACTATCAGACATATAACCTAACTATCATATAATTGTCCCGTGATTAACTTTAAAAATTAAAAAAACAACGTTAGGAGGGCCTCTTCCTCACTTATGATCCAATCAACTCCTGAATCGCGAAATTCCATTGTCGAGTCACTGGATCTGCTCCAACCTCCTTGACCTGAGCCGCCAAGCGATCTGCTAGATCATCGCATGCTTGCCTTTGACTAGCATCCTGTAAACACCACTGAGTCTCTGGCTGCCATAAAGAAGAGCCAAAAAGAACGCGGCATAAGTCGTGTCTACACTCAACAAAGAACCAAAGTGCAAGAACGTAGATCAGATGTACAGCTGACACGAGTCGAGGAAAAAATTACAAGGGGGACCCACGCTACTAGACCAAAGCTAAGTCCAGCCTGATGACCGTAATGACTGTTGGAGTTTTCCGTCCAAAAGAATTTGATAGGCTCCTCATGAACCCGAGTTCGAAAGAGTGAGAGAGGTTGCTCTATGAGAGCCCCTTCGATTACATATGTCTCCAAAGCATGCAGAACACCTTGATTACAGATATTGTCGATGGTCAATCAAGTGTGGCCGATGATTTCTATTTCCAAAGATGTCAAGAGCAGGGTACTGACTGTCTCCTACCACGTAAATCTTGCCGGAGCACAACTTGATAGGTGGGCGGTCGTCAGACGCAGTTGAATTTACTGTCCCGATTCTACCGATTGAAGCGCATTGGATGTGTTGGAGCCAGATGACTGATAAATCATCGCAATGAAAAAGTGAACGAGCTCATAAGTCAAAATCAACTTGGAACTTCAGAGGATAGATGGATTCGTACAAGTCAAGATTAACAACCAATGACATCCTAGGAAAGGTTTGATAATTGTTGTAGGTCCACGAGTGCATGTATTGAAGATGTCCATGATTTTTACTTTTCTACTTCCGACCAGGGTGTTGAGAATCGTGATAGCGTTTCGCTCCTATCTGAGGTTTCTCGAAGTGGGCTTGATCTATTGAGGTTTCTCGAAGTGGGCTCGATCTATGATAGGGAAATTTGAGCGCAAACCAGCATTATAGGCACTGGATTAACATGATATCATTTGAAGTTAGATAACAACTTTAAAGCTTAAAAGCTTTTGGTCTTTCAGCGTGTGCAGACGTCACAAAGGCAATAGGTGACAGGGGGGTACAGATAGGGTGTGTGTGGGGGGTCGAGTGATGGGGAGATACGTGCATAAACTAAGCAGGAGTGGATTTTCGTAAGCAATTCACACTCTTCAAACGAAAACGAAAATGGTGGAGGGGTATAGGATCTGTATGGATCTAAATAGTGAATCGATGGAAGGATGGATTGACAAAGGTATCGAAAGATTACGACTAAAGCCAAAGTCAAGCTGGATTGATAAGCCGGTCCCGCTCTGATAAATTCTCAAATCTCAGCTTGGCTTCTCGAGAAGCAAGATGTCTTCGTCGCGCGCTGGAAAAGGCATCCTTCGCGTCATGTTCGAGCTATGAATATGATGCTGTATGGAAACATTTGCATAGTAATAGGAGAGTGCAGCAGATCACCGCTGAAGCCTGCTGCCTAGCATTTATTGCCAGGAGAACAGACATATTTTTGTTTTGGCATAGCCAGCTTTCGTAGAGCGGTCCCGAGATGAGATAGTGTTTGGCAAGATCATAACGGGTGAATGGTATACCAAATAAGCAAGACAAGCTCAAAGATTGTTCGCATCTCAATTGTCACGGGCTCTTGCGAAAGACGAGGCTATGACCAACTTAGCAAAGTCCCTCGCGCCAAAGGCCCGAGGCTTGGTTATGAGCCGTTTCAGGAATGTCGGCATTGCATTTGACCAGCCTCGTGCCGTACCAGGGATGACAACATCACCAATCGAAATGTTACTTTCCACCATAGACACAGTTACAAAATCGTGATCTAATTTCTTATGCTTACACTTGTGTTGGAGGTCTGTACATAAGATGAACTGAAGCCGTCCTACCCCTCATGTACCATCAAATCGAATCATACGTCAGATCGGAGGACAGTCAAGATACGGGTTATGAAAAGAAGGCCGCGCACTATGCCACTAAACCATCAGCGGTGGTATTTTTTCAAGATTGGCTTCTCTCTTTTTGCTTGTACATCTCACGGTTCATCGCAGGCCTCTGGATGACGCCAGATACCCTCCTTCCTCTCCTGAGAACCCCCAACTGATCGCATCCAGCATTCTTAGCTCAGCACAAAGCGATCAAGAATACAAACTGGGATAAGGTACATTTAAGCGATATTTAACTTTATTTTAATTACTAGCTATATATGCATCCACAACTTGAGCTTTGTACTCTGCCATACCACACCTGATTATCAATCTAGAGGACGGGTATCTAAACCCTCGCGCCATACAGAATTATAAAGTAGTGACCCAAAATCGATTGAGTTTGGCATCAACATAATTGTAGTACTACTTAAAGACCTTTGAAACCATCCAACAAATTGGTTTTGACTGGTGATTTGGCGGTGCCGGAAAGTATGCCGGAGTGAAGATCATGTTGGCCATAATAAACTTATAGTATTACCTTGGTATTTCTCCAAATATTAGCGTGTGTGCGGATATCTCCTCTCAAGGGTTTAGAAAAATACTTGTTCATCAAACAGAAACATGCTCGTTGTAGGATCCCCCTTAATTCTTCTGCAGGAAATAATTTTTTGCATTGAATCGCATCAGATCGTGGGCTTCACTCATCCTGGTGAGATTGAAGGTACTCAAACAGTAATCTCCCCTCTGCTTTTCTAACGACTGGTCTATACTGGTCTATCCTTCTATTCACTCAGAAATCCAACCATGTTTAGTTTCTCTTCACGATTTATTTACCACCTGGCTCAACGGACAACAATTGAACCAGATCATCTTCATCATTTTTGTGCACATATGTCCATCTGTTCTCTTGTTCAAAGTGTGTGTTTTTAAGTGTATGGCCTGATTTGATTTCATGCAATGTGCACTGCCACTGGTGGCAACCCCCGACCCGCAGCGTAGGTCACTGCGTGTAAACTGCGGGTGCGCTGGTGACAGTGCATAGGGATTTGCCAAAAATACCACCGCGCCGTTTTACACCGCAAGGGCCCCGTCGTATTTCAGCCACTGCGCAAAATCACACCACAGCGCAGCCCAATTCCCTGCTGGGGCCAACTGTTTTCTCCCGAGAAATCATAATTCCTGTGCAGTGGTGGTGATGTGATATGCAGAGGACCAGTAGGTTTCTATCCTTGGAAATCCAAGGGTCAATAAGCTTCATAATCAGTACATTTAGGCCTTGCATAAAACAGCATGGGGGATTTGAACACAGTGAAAGCCTTGTAACTTGTAATAGACACTCAGAATGGTTCAAGCTGACTGATTGACAGCTGTTTCAAGAAAGATTGACCACTTTTTTGTGAATCAAGTTGTCACCACAGCAAGCAAATCCAGACAAAACTCTTGTTTACAGGTGTTGATTTTTCTGCAGTCTCCAAATTAGCAGAGAGCCAAAGGCCTGGTTTGGGACTGTGAAGAGATTTTCAAAGAAGCTAAATTCTTGCTGAAACAGCTGTATGCCCTCTGTGTGATTTGTATGCCCAAATTTCAGATAAATGACGGGGAAAAAATCATGTACACATCCCCAAGCCGAGGGTTTGTAACTTGACCTGAGCCCCAAACCCCCCAAACCTCACCCCGCTTAGGGTAGGGGCACAGGGTCAGCCTCAGAAAAATAAACCTACCTGTGGGTTCCAGCCTTGAACTGGGAAGAGTTGCAAAAACCAGCACCCAGCGTGGGAATCTGCGGGAGATGCATTTCAAGTCACTGCTTTCAGCTCTTCGTACACCTTGTGATTGTGGGATCTGGTGAATGTTGAGACCACCTTTCAAACACTGTGGTATGTAGACCAAGGATTGAACGGTTTCATCAACCTATTTGTTTCCATAACATTTGCTCTCCATGCCTTGCAAGCTTGCAGCTTCAGTCATTCATTTGGCCAAGGTTTATCAATGTGTTGTTCTTTACAACTCCAGTACTTGTTACCATACAGACAGAAGCTAAGGCTATAATTCTTTTCACAATCATAAAAAACCAAAATCAAGCATATATCAACTTTGCCTGCGCAACTTGAGCAGGATCAAAAAATTGGGCAACTTCTGTTGGAGTTGAGACAAGCCCTTGTACTTTGGTTCTATCCAGGCTCACTGCTTATTTGCACACATGTGATAACATATCAGGGAGTCTTTGGGTGGGGTCGGGACAGGGGGCGGGTGAGTGTCCTGAGACTTGGGTTTGGGCTTGGGATGGCCACTCACTGTGTTATTTGGCTTGGGGCTCTGGTTGATTTGTAACCAGTGATTTTTTGACCAGTCATCCTGATATCCATGCTCACGATCCAACAGGTTATTCAATGGTTTTGCAATGGGTCCAGGGGTCAGTCAGAACTCTGGAGCCCGCCAATAGTAGGACAAACCGGCTGGTTTGGGGGTTGTGTCAGCCCTGGGTACATATGTATGTACCCAAAGACTAACTTGTGATATATATAAACACCTTCAGAAACCTAATTACATGCACATAGAGCTTACAAAACATATGTAACATGTAATAAATCATATATATATTTGAATTACATACACACATACATTTGAAATGATATGTAATATGTAATAAAATATCATTTACACCTCATAACTCAGTGTCAAGAGTCAAAATGATTATATTACACATTACACACAACATGTATATGTAACCGAGTATTATCAGTAATAATCATAACTAATAATGATAATCAAACCCTAAACCAAAGTATGGATGTAAACAAATCTCACCACAGTTAGGTTTGGAGAGGAGAGTATAAAAACCCCTCCTCTCTCAGCCTTCAGGATTTCCCCCCAAGCTTTATTACACACTACTTTTAAGCACATCTTAAAGTTCTACTGAAGTAACATCAAGAGTCTTATAAAGATAAGACTAGTGATATCTTCATACGTTAATCTGTTCCCTGATTAAAAGTAAGTAATACCCTTCACTCATATCAGGATTCTACTTCCCCTAAGTAGAACTCTCCCAACACTCACAGCGCTCCGCTCCTCTGTGCTATATGCCCTGTTTTTCCAAGCGGAGCGGTTTTGCGACAAGATCTCAAAGCGGTGCGGCAATAAAAATTGCTCTGCTCCGCTATGGGAAAATTATAGGAACAATGGCGACTCAAAGCGAGGCACAAAAGGTATTTTTTATTCTCACCTTCTTGTCTTCCAATCTTGATTGGTCTGCCATAGCCTCAGAGATACCGATAGTCAAGCGAGTATGTAGTACATACACAACTGAAGTTTGATCAATTTCTACAATTGCTATTACAGTATCTGGCTCAAGTTGTAAACCTGATGATAACAAAAAAGCTAGAGTGGTCTTTCTCAATGAACAAGTCTCTTATCATCATCCTATCTCTTGTTTTTGGTACAAATTAAGACCACTTTCTCAAGATGAATCGGATAGTTCAGAATCATCTTTGAATGGCATTTATTGAGGAAGGTACAGATTTCGCATTTCAGCATTGGCTTGCCAAGTAAATAGACATTCAGCTCATGGCAAGCGGTGATTGAGTCTGACAGGGGAGCCGGAGAAGTGACTTGAGCCATACTGGACAATTGACTAGTGCAGAGAACTTGAGGATCAGATGAAAGGTCGGGCTGATTGCTAGTTGTATCCAAATCCAGCGAATGAATTTCCGTCAGACCAGGAGGACCATTGGATTTGTAAAGATTTGGCCAATGGGAGACATGGGGGCTGTTGGAGTTCCGAGTCGGGGATCTTTTGTAGAGCATGCCTCCAAGCTCACTAGCTGTTTGATCGTAAAGGGTGAAGATGTCATGCTCGTGAAAGGGGTCAGCAACTGAACGGATTT